TTCCTTTTTTCTTCTCTGGTCTTATCACGGATGGTTTGGGATGGACACGGTATTTGGGGATTAGAGTGTTAGACAAAAATGTTATGATAGCGGCCTTCCCACTGGCCTAGTTACGACTCATTTTTCTGTGCCTCTTGACATATCGCTCATGGCTGAAGTGTGATGACATGTAAGGCCCTTGCATAGGCAGAAGTAGTAGATGGGCGCGCGCCTTGGAAATGTGAGCAGAAAGTGAACAGTGCTGGCCAACTGCTAGTGGACCAGCACGTTTCCTCGAACTGGATCTCTACATCGGCAGCCCAATTTCACTCTATCCATCTACAGTTTCTTCCCTCCTCAATCTCGCATGTTTCCACCTATGCGGACGAAGCTTTGCTTACAATGGCTCCCTTCTCGCAGGAACAGGCTCGGTTCATCGAATCTTGGCGTCGCTTCATCCCCAACCGAGTCGAACGAGAAGATCCCTTTGCTGAAAGTCCGTTTGGATTGAGGCCTTCAACGCAACTGGTATGATTAATTCCACCAAGTTCTCACTAATTAATTCTACATGCCCATCTTGGACCCAAGAAGCTAACAATTACCGTCTTCACTTACCAAACAGTCGTTCCACCCGCCTCCTCAGAATCCCGAGCCCTCCCGAAGAGCATCCACGCGTCTCAGCTTCTTCCGCGCTGCCACGCCTCTCTTCGGGAGGAGCTCGACACCTGCCCACGCTCCAGCGGCCGCGAGGCCAGCCACGGTCCTGGGTCTGAGGTCGACGACGCGGGACGACCATCCCGGCAGCAGCAGGCGAGGTTTCTTCCGGCGGCTGCTGCACAGAGGGTACAAGGAGAAGAGGGCCAGAAGCCCGACGCCAGAGCCGTTTTTCATCGCCGCTGAGCCGATTCGCCTGAATTTCCTGTTTGTCGGGCCCAAGAACTCTGGGCAGACGTCTTTGTTGTTGTATGTTTTATCGTAGGCTGGTGGTTGTTGACGTTTTTAGATACTGACCTGCAGCAGTCGCTCTCGATATGGATATTTCCCTGATGTGAGTTTTTCCTGCGTTGTTTGTTCTTTGAAGGAATATCCTACTTTTGGAAGAAACGGTTTCTAATGAGGGTGCATCAAACAGGCGACGGCGATCAACAGAACTTGCTACGAGGTCTACGAGAACCACCGGGTTTACGACTCGCAGCCGGCCACGATTGAGCTGTAGGACACCTCTGGGGCGCCGGACCTGAATGCGGTGACGACACTGTCGTATATGAAGTGGGACGCCATCTTCCTCTGCTTTGACACCATGGACAAGATATCCATGTTTAGCATCATGTCCTGGGTGAGTTATGGTCTAAAAGCGATGCACATGGGAGGGCGAAGAGCTAAGCGGTATAACAGTGGCATCACGCCGTCGTGGATGGGTTTCTCGAGAGCCAGAGATTTGTGCCGATGCTCTACCTCGTGGGCATGAAGAAGGACCTGCGGGAGCAGCGGTTCCTGGAAAGAGAGGAGAGGAGGGCACGCGCCCCTGCTTCGTTCCCCCCGTTTCCGCTGTGCTGCGTATGCCCTGCCGATGTGAGTGTTGCCCTTTTCTTGAGGCTCGCTCGCTCTATTATCCTTTGCTGACTTTCACTACAAGGCTGCTTGGCACGCTGGGCAGATTGGCGCAGAAGGGTACTTGGAGTGCTCTGCGCTGACAGGGGACGGGATGGACAGGGTGATTGAGGATGTTGGAGTAGAGGCTACTAGGCGAACAATCATGCGGATGATTGAGGCGGCTGCTGCTGAGCTGGCGGTTCACGGGGGGACAATGAAGAAGAGACGTCGACTCTTCTGAGGCTTGTTGCTCCTCTATAGCTTGAGAGCTGATCAGATTTGCATTATCAGGTGGCAGAAAAATGATGGTAGCGGCTAGAAGACATAAAGTGAGATAATCGGAAATAGTCACGTAAAGCCATGTAATCCAACGCGGCTCTCCTTCCTTTGTGTGACTTCTTTCTGAGATTGAGGTGAGGTTTGGCAAAAAGTTGGGCTGAGGCTGCTTATTCGTTAGTGCTACTGGAGTCGTTCTCTCCTGCCTCCACATCAATGTCGAGGCCTACCTAACCTAAACCTCAATACAACAGCTCAGTTTATTCCTACCAAGTGCGAAGCATTGTGATGGCCAGGTACGGTTATGAATAGCCCGATTCAAACCTACAATATAATACCTAGCTCCTATCCTTTCTCCCCTATATTCATCCTCTTTTAGCTTTACAACGACGATTGACGATTGACAGACAGGCAGGTGTCCAGAATCATATCTAGCTCATTCCCTCCATCTTGTTACTCGAGAAATTATTCGAGCGTTGAGACTCACCAAAAGAGCCAATATGGCAACCAAAAATAAAGCTACCGCTACGAGAGCTTTTATCATCACGCTTGGGGGATTAGGTATTGCCGTCGGTTTCATTGCTGTTCAGCCCTTCGCTCTAGGCCACGTTGTATCCTCCTTACTCACCATCGCCCTCTTGCTATCATTTCTCAGCGCAAGTAGCATCAAGTATCCCACCTCTTGGGACAATCCGTCGCTGAACGTTTCTAGATACGGCATTTCCAATTGTCGCTGCAGCGGCGCCGGCGACAGGTGCAATGGTCGCATAGCCGCAAAGGGGTCAAAACCCGCGAGCAGCCCCACGACTACTATCTCTTCGTCCTGGGATCCGGTGGGCATACGAAAGAAATGCTCATGATGATGGATGACGGATTCTGCCACTTCGAGAACTTCCATAGACGTTATCTCATCTCGAGTGGCGACACCATGTCCCTGAATCATCTGACCGACTTTGAGAACGATGTCAAGCTGCTCTGCGAGAAAGAGGGCCAGTCGCCTGGAACATACGATACGAAAGTTGTTGCCCGAGCCCGGCGTGTTCACCAATCTCTTCTGACCACTCCATTCTCCGCTCTGGCCAGCCTGTACGGCATTTTTCAGGTTCTGTTGTCACCTCCCGCCAACGATGTGGGCAAGACGCTGCGGTTCCCTCGACTCATCTTCTCTAACGGGCCGGCTACTGGATTCTTTGTTGGCTTGGCTGTGCACATCTTGAAGGTCCTCTACATCATCCCTCAGGACAAATGTCTCTTTGTGTACATTGAATCATGGGCACGCATCACCTCACTCAGCTTAACCGGCAAGCTATTTCACTACACTGGGATCGCGGATGCTTTCGCAGTCCAGCATGAGGAGGTCGCAAAGCGCTACGGCGTGAGCAATGCGGGCCCTCTTGTGTTCAACTACAAGCGTCGTCCCTCGGGATCGGCGATTGGGGCGTCTTCATGAATCCGGGAATAGCAGGAGTATTCATCCTACAATGCAGTTCTTGTACATAGTTATACATGGTGTATACATCAAATAAACATGGTTCATCGGCTCTCTGCTGCTCCTAGTGATTCAGTTGCAGCTCCCGGCGTGTCGAGAGCCTCGGTCTCAGCATCCTCATCCTCAAAGTCGGAGGCCCTGCTCTCCTGAAGTAGCGCCTCCCGCCTCTCGGACTCCTTGGCCGCCCAGACCTTCCACTTCTCGTACTCGGCGTTCTCAAGCTGGAGACCCACGTCGAGTCTCGATTTGCCAAAGTAGGCACCGACGTACTTGGCTTCCTCCAGCGCCACTCGCCTCTCAATCTCTTCCTCCTGTCGCAGGCGGTAGAACTCGCGGCGAGCCTGGTCGTATGCCTTCTCGCGGCCCATTTGCTGGTTTTCCATCAGCCATAGCTGGCGCTGCACAACGCTATTTGGGAGACACTTTGTCAGTTTTTACACCTTCCTGTATTTTTTAACAGCCCGGTTCTCTAAGGAGCTCACCTTTCACCCGATAGCTGCATGCCGCGCTGTCGTAGCCCACGGCTCCAGTCATAGCGCTGCGCGTCCCTGCCGTCCGTCTCGACGATATTTCGCGGCCTCGCCAGCTCCCAGGGGTGGTCTTTGTAGAAGGTGCTGCGGAGGTTGTCCTCGGGGTATGTGATCTGCTGGGGTCGGTAGAGGTTTCGGGGCTTGGTGGCCTTCTTGCTGGGCGCGCGGTGGCGCAGGGCGACTGTCCGTACGGTATTCTCGGAGGGGGGCACGGAGTTGACGACCTCGAACCAAGGCGGCGTGGGGATGGGTTTGTTCTGGAGGATTCTGTTGCTCAGTTCGTTTTCGGCGGCCTTGTAGACCCTTGCGGGCCGGATCTGCTTGACACCCATGACCACCGGGGCTGGACGAGGAAATTAGCTGGGTTACAGAGTGCGGGGGGTGTCGTGGGCGTTACTGACGGATCCTCCGTGACCAATTGACCTTGCAGAGTGACGGGGAGTCGGGTCGTCGTGCTCGTCTGAAAATTCCACCTCGAATGTGGTGATGGATGCTTGGGCTTGGGAAATTTTGGGCTAGCTCGGCGAATCGTAAGGCCGGGGCGAGTGTGGTGGTGTATGGCGGCTCCATCTAATCCAGCCAACGGGGACTGAGAAGTTAGCACAAGCACGGAGACGGTACCGGCGGGCGCCACCCCTGTAGATCGACGGCCAAAAATCAAATCCATGACCTCCAAAGAATTGCACGCATTGGAGCCAGGCCGACAATCCATTGTGCTTCCACTACTTGGTCTCTGCCCGCGGTAGTACGGTTCGATCTCGAGCTTCTCCTCAACCCCGATCCTCTCTTCCGGTGCCCACACAATCTTTTTTCCTGCAGGAAGCAGCAACATCATGAGGAAGAGCCCATGAAAATCTCCGCTCGCGTGGATGGCTCCGTCTGTGGTGCGGTCTTCTTAAACCGTTCCTCGTCGAGTCTCAGGGGGGTTCTTGCTTCCGGGCGGAGGCAGCTCTGCAGCTCCAGGGACAAACCAACAAGCGCCCAAGCCGGCTCGAACAAGACCGAACATGGCAACTCGTTCTTCTGCTCCCGAACCTCTCAATGGCTCGGCTCAACCTTCCTCCCCAAACCCGAGCCCCGATCGGTTTGGTCGATAGCCCGGAAACGACATGTCAAACAGGCCTACAGCACGGCGGCGGCGGCGGTATCGAGCGACTCGCGCCGGCCTGTACCGCACTTGTCTGTGGAGGATCGACAGAAGCTACGGTCCTATGTTGATGGAGAGCCTGAGGGCACTGTGAGGGAGCACCTCGACTTTTATCGAGATACCTATCGAAGTGGATATGCAATACCTGATTCCCCGACCATAAAAATTTCAGATGCGAAGCTCGATGTGGACTACCCGTCCCAAGACCAGATCTATACTCCCAATGATGAGCTCAAAACTTTGAATTCTAGGCTATGCGGCGCCATTGGCTTCAGAGTCCGGCACCCTCATCGAATCAGCCTCGGTACTATTTTTGACCATTACATGAAACTCCCGGAGCCCCGGATGCTGAATTTCTCTGCGCGGTGGCGAGACAAGCTGTTATTGGTTATGGCCCGGCCGCCGAAGCGAGATTTGAGCGCTATGCTACGGTACTTTGAGCTCTTGTCCGACGTTACCAAGGCAGGTCTCACTATAAGGCCTTCGCAGTGGAACTTCGCACTGTCTCTGGCTACAAAACATGCTGGAAAACGCGTGGACCATTTTGATTCTGCCATGGGTCTCTGGAAACGAATGGAGCGGGAGCTGGGTGAGAACACGAATGAGGTCACGTTCAACATTTTATTTGACGCGGCGTCGAAGCTCGGGAACTTCACACTCGCCGAGTTGATTTTCGGGGAGATGGAGAAGCGAGGAATTCAATTCAACCGCTTCCACCACGTCAGTCTCATATATTACTTTGGCCTCAGACTGGATTCTGATGGCATTAGGGCTGCGTACAAGGAGATGGTTGAGTCGGGTGAAGTCATTGACACTGTGGCATTGAACTGTGTCATTTCTGGGTTCTTGCGCTGCGGCGAGGTCGAGGCAGCCGAACAGACGTATAGGCGCATGATGGACAACACCCCTGCGGGCAGGAAGCTACCAGAGAAGGATTATCGCGTGGAAAAGGTCCTTACCCAGGCCTTTCTCATGTTTGCCAGGTTGGGGAAGGACCACCCTGAAATGGTGAAATCATCTCAGACCAACATGTGGCTCAGCCCGGATATCCGGACATATCGCCTCATGGTTGAGCATTGTGCCATCAGTGCAGGCGACCTACGGAAGGTCGCCAGATACCTTGACGAGATGGAGTATCTGCGGATTCCCGTACACCCGACCATATTCCTAGCTCTGTTCAAGGGGTTCTATGTGCATGGCGGACCAGGCCGGGACACTGCATGGACTGTGCAGCGGCTGAATGGTGTCTTGTCGGCATTGTACAATGCACGGGACTGTCGCGTTCGTGGTTTCCGCATTGACAGCTGGTTGGTAATATGGGCGCTGCGAGCGGTCCGGAAGTGCTCCACCGACGGGGATGTCCAAAACGCATTCGACAATCTGAAGAGGCGATGGGACATTGCGCCTCAGCGCCGCGATTTCCTTCACGATCTGCTCACCAACATCCTTGACGGCTCGGATTTGAAGTCGAGGAAGAAGAACCGGGATACTTTGCATCAGGTGTACCAAAACAAAGCGATAGGCATATGACGCAACGAACATTATGTAATTATTGGGTGTATATATATACATTAGCTAGTGCTGTATAACACCAAGCAACGCTCATAGCTTGGAAAAGAGGCCGGGAATGCATTGAAGCTGCCGGCGTGTATCAATCAAATCAATTGACATGCAATTCACGATGATGGGGGCCCATGGTGCTAAGGACAAATGGAAGTATTTGATGTGACCGTGCTGATGGCTATCTACGTATTGTACACAGCAACCCGCTGATAATCCATCCTGAGCTGCCAATTGCGATGTACCGCAATCATTATCGACGCCGCAAGCTTATTGGGGCTTGTAGGTTTGCCAGACTATCATCACGACCCGTTAGCAATCGACTCATTCCTTCATATCACTTCATATCACCATGACGAAAATATTTCGGAGCAACGGAGGGAGCAACGCACCAGCAATGCCGAAGGGGGCGAAGAAGCCAGCGGCCATGAAGGTCCAGTAGCCGGCGCCGAACCACTTGCTGCGAGGGTTGAAGGGCAGGTTGGAGTAGGGGCCCTCGGGGTAGTGGTAGGGCGAGGAGAGGCGGGCTCGGGTTGCGTGGAATCCACGCTTGGAGACCAGCTGGGTGGTGGTGCGGGCGGCGGCGCGGGACAGCATCTGCGGGTTGATTCAATTCAATTAGCTTTTTGCAATTGGGCTCGAGGGCGTGGCGGCGAGGTGTGCGGACCTTGATTGCGGCTTTGCGACGACGGGATGCGGGTGAGTTGAAGCTTTTGCTGGTTGCAAAGTGGTGTGATATCCTCGGTCAGGTAAAGAGTAGACGGGAGAGGATCAATGACAGAAGCTTGGCGGAGAGGAGATCACGTGCTGAGTCATGTGAATCGAGAAATGGTCCCATGTGTTTTGAAATGCGCCGGTGCCGGGTGGTGGATGATCGCTCATGTGGCTGGTGCTAGGATGTGGCGTCACCGCCTTCGAATGAGCGGCGGGGCTCACTTCGACTTTCTGCCACAACGGCCCACTTTCCAACTTTTTTTTTTGGGCTGCCGAGCACCGATGCACACTCAAGATCGGGATCGAAGCAACTGCAACACTCAGGGAGACAAAACTTCGCCGGCTTGATTTTTAGGCCAATGCTAGCGGACAAGCTGCACCGGGACGCATCGCTTGATTTAGTTTCGTCTCCCGACACCACCTTCCTTACATATCTTATTTTTACCTAAAGGGCACGCGTGAAAGCCCTGGGTGTACCATTTCGCGGAGCGCCTGCATTGTTTCTGGTCGAGAGCTGAGCTGAGCGCCAGCCACCGAAATCTGTCGGCATGGATGAGCTGTTCGACGTGTTCAATGGGGACGGCGGCCCCAGAACTGAGAGCGAGGAGGAGCACCTCCCCCACCGGAGCAAGGAGAGCAAGAAGAGAAAAGTCGACGAGGCCATGAACGGCGATGGGCACAAAAAGGCAGCCACCGACGGCGCGGAGGCCGAGATGGCCGACGCCACGACCGAGACGACATCAAACGACGACGAGTCCGAGGAGGACTCCGACACGCCCAGCCAGCAGGACAAGAAGCGACGGAAGAAGGAGGACGGGGCGGCTCCCGTGTTGACAGATACCTTCCAGACTGCCGAGTCGCGAGAGGTCGCGGCCGCGGCGACCTTTGTCCCCCAGGATTCTTCCCTGGTGCTGTCACACAACATCCAGCATCAGGTCGCGCTGCCGCCCGACCTGGACTACGAGTATGTGCCCCTCTCCGAGCACAAGTCGCCCGCCGAGCCCGCGCGAACGTGGAAGTTCAAGCTCGATCCCTTCCAGAGCCTTTCAGTTGCATCGATAGAGCGAGAGGAGAGCATCTTGGTCTCGGCGCACACCAGTGCTGGAAAAACTGTTGTTGCCGAGTATGCCATCGCGCAGTGCTTGAAGCGCAACCAGCGAGTCATCTACACGAGTCCCATCAAGGCCTTGAGTAACCAGAAATACCGTGATTTCGAAAGCATCTTCGGTGACGTTGGTCTGATGACCGGTGATGTCACGATTAATCCCACAGCTAGTTGCTTGGTTATGACCACTGAGATTTTGAGATCCATGCTTTACCGTGGTTCGGAGATTATGCGGGAAGTGGCGTGGGTGGTATTCGACGAGATCCATTACATGCGTGATAAGATCCGCGGCGTGGTCTGGGAGGAGACGATTATCATGTTGCCCGATAAGGTGCGCTACGTCTTTCTGTCTGCCACTATTCCAAATGCTTTCCAGTTCGCCGAGTGGATTGCCAAGATTCATCACCAAGCGTGCCACGTCGTTTACACCGATTTCCGACCAACGCCCCTCCAAAACTACTTCTTCCCCTGTGGCGGAAAGGGAGCGAGAATTGTCGTTGACGAAAAGGGCAACTTCAACGAAGCCAACTTCAACCAGGTCATGCAGGAAGTGGAGGAGAGAAAGGGGTCCGAGTCCAACGATCCCAAGGCGAAGCTCAAGGGCAAGGGCAAGAATAAGAAGACCAACAAGGGTGGCCGTGATGACGGTAGCGACATGAACAAGCTCATCCGGATGACGATCAAGAAGAACTACAACCCTGTTATTGTCTTCAACTTCAGCAAGCGTGAATGCGAGAACATGGCCATGAGTATCACCGGATTGTCCTTTAACGACGATTCGGAGAAGGCCATGGTCAAGAAAGTATTCACCAGCGCCATCGAGAGCTTGTCAGAGCAGGACCGAGACCTCCCCCAGATCGGCAACCTCTTGCCTCTATTGGAAAAAGGTATCGGAGTCCATCACTCGGGTCTTTTACCAATCCTGAAGGAGACTATCGAGATTTTGTTCCAAGAATCTCTCATCAAGGTCCTCTTCGCTACGGAAACCTTCTCTATCGGTTTGAACATGCCAGCCAAGACGGTGGTGTTTACGCAACTCACCAAGTGGGATGGCATCAAGAATAGACCCCTCACCTCGTCCGAATACATCCAGATGGCCGGTCGTGCTGGACGTCGTGGTCTGGATGCTCGTGGTCTGGTTATCATGATGGTTGATGACAAGCTTGAGCCCGAGACGGCCAAAGAAATTGTCATGGGACAGCAGGACAAGCTGAACTCGGCGTTCTACCTAGGCTACAACATGATTCTCAACCTTTTGCGAATCGAAGCCATCTCACCCGAATTCATGCTCGAGAGATGTTTCTACCAGTTCCAAAATGCTGCAAGCGTACCGGCACTAGAGAAGCAGCTGATGTCGCTTCAACAGGAGCGTGACAGCCTGACCATCCCAGATGAAGCCACAGTTAAGGACTACTATCAGATCCGGCAATCTCTCAACACGTACACTGCCGATATGAGAGCCGTCATTCAACACCCAACTCACTGCATATCCTATCTGCAACCCGGCCGCACCATTCAGATCTTCAACCCCAAGGAATCACCCAATGGTGTCGCTGGTGGTTTGGATTTTGGTTGGGGAGTGATTGCGAACTGTACCCCCCGTCACGCACCAAAGATGGGAGAACCAGATTATCCTCCCCAGGAGTCGTACGTGATTGACGTTCTGATTGCGGTTTCAAAGTCAAGTTCTGATATCGTTCCCGGCCAGCCCAGCGGGGATATGGCCCCTGGAGTGTCTCCTGCTGGAAGTGAAGACGACCTGACATACGAAGTGGTCCCTTGCCTGCTGACATGTATCAAGGCCATTGGGCAGATCCGTGTCTTCATGCCCAAGGACGGTCTAGCGTCTCCCAAGAACAAGGACTTGGTTTCAAAGTCCCTCGAGGAGGTGAAGCGCCGTTTCCCTGATGGCATGCCGGTTCTAGACCCCCTGGAGAATATGGAAATCACCGACGAGTCGTTCAAGAAGCTCCTACGGAAAATCGAAGTCTTGGAGTCGAGATTGCTCGCCAACCCGCTGCACCTGTCTCCTCTCCTTCCTTCTCTCTGGGACCAGTACAGCAACAAGGTCCAGCTGACAGAGAAGGTCAAGGACAAGAAGAAGTCGATCGCCAAGGCCCACAGCATCGCCCAAATGGACGAGCTCAAGTCTCGCAAGCGTGTTCTCCGTCGCTTGGGATTCATCAACGATTCTGAAGTTGTGCAGCTGAAGGCTCGAGTCGCCTGCGAGATCTCCTCCACCGAGGGCCACGAACTGCTTCTCTCCGAGCTTCTCTTTGACAGATTCTTCAACGAGCTGACGCCCGAGATGTGCGCTGCCACGCTAAGTGTCTTCATCTTCGATGAGAAAGTTGAGAGCACTGCTCTCAAGGAGACGCTGCAGAAGCCCTATCGCGAGATTCAGGCCAAGGCGCGCATTGTCGCCAAGGTCAGCCAGGAATGCAAGCTGGATGTGAATGAGGACGACTATGTGAAGAAGCTCAAGTGGGAGCTCATGGAGACGGTCCTTGCCTGGGCACAAGGGCGACCGTTCTCCGAGATCTGGTAAGTTTTTCTTTCAGTGCCTTTTACCTCATAGAAATTCGAACTGACATGGCCCCGCAGCAAAATGACCAATATTTACGAAGGTTCGTTGATCCGTCTCTTCCGCCGCCTGGAGGAACTGCTGCGCCAGATGGGCGAGGCCGCCAAGGTGATGGGCAACGACGACCTCACCAAGAAGTTTGAGGAGAGTCTGTCCAAGATTCGCAGGGACATTGTCGCCGCGCAGAGTCTGTACCTCTAATTCCCAGCGCACCCGCCCGTTTCACGTTCTTGATTGTTTAGACTATATAGTATATATACTTGTGTGTGGGGGGTGTCTTTTCTGCCAGAGTTACAGCACGCCATCTTTGCTGTTCGCAATCATCGGTTTGAGGTGTTAATGGAGCATTGGGAGCATAGGGAGAATAGGGGATTAAGGATGGCCTATATATTTCCCTGGATCACAAAAGAAATTCTTGAAGCGCGATGCTGATAGTTTTGTACGTTCTTGATGACGTTCTTGATGTAGGATCATGTAATTTCAATGTCAGTAATCTCAATGTGAGCTATGAGTGTATATTTGTTCCTTGTGTCTGTGTCCTCAAACGCCGTGCTTATGTTTAAACTCTATTGTACAAAAAAGCCGCCTAGAAATAGTGATTATCATGTCCCATGCTAAGAGAATGCTTTTGTCGTGATGCCAAAGCAGATCCCACACCAACAACCTAAGAGACCGCGACGTAAAACCATCCACGAATCTAACAAGTGTATCTTCTGCGTCCTCAACAGCCGCTTGCTTTAAATCACGGCCGACCCCCGGATATGCTCACAATCGTGCCGACGAGCAGACTCAGCACGGCCCCCGCGGCGACGAAGATCTGCCACTTGTCGTTCCACAGCCCCTCCTGCCTCAGGAGCCACGTCAGGCTGCCGAGCGGCCAGAAGAAGCCGATCATCATGGCTCGGATGAAGATGTCGTCTATCCCCTGCCCCAACCCGGAGGCGTCCTCCCCGCCGCCCGCGGTGGTTGCGAGCCCCTGCCCGAAGGCGCTGGAGTCGATCCACGAGTCCTCGAGCCCGCGGAGGGTGTCGGGCGAGGGCGGTGCGTCGGGCGGGTAGCGGTCCGCGTGGATGGAGGCGAACTGCGTGCGGAGGGTGGAGATCTCAGACGAGGTGAAGCCCGAGGTGAGGAGGCGGTCGAAGCCGCGGGGACGGGGGCGGGTGGACGGTTTCTGCTGGGCGCTCCCCGACAGAC